TCTGCATTTCATTGCATCAGCCCTGACTAGACAGATTGGATACTACTCACTGGAGAGTCTACCTTCCTCCACGCCCTCTGGATCTAGGTTCCCTCTTGAAAGCTTGTAAGCCAGTCACTTCTTGCCTTTGTAGCCCCCCGCCCATCACTTCTTGCCTTTGTAGTCCCCCGCCCCGCATTTTGGGTAGCCAATGTCCAAGTTGCCCATCCCTGTCTACTTTGTGTGTGGAGGGTGTGGGAATGATTCTTGCTGTAAGGATTTATTCCCTCTTTTGAGCTACTGCTTCCATAGGTGTAGGTCAAGTTCATCAAAATGTAAAAAAACTGCTTTTTACTTTTGGTTGAGCTCTGATCATCCAGTCATTGAAGCCAGGAAAATGGGTATTATCTGCAACTGTCGGTGTTCTTATGCATATGCCCTCTCTTCTTATCAGCTGGACACTTCACTCTCCACTCTAGTCCTCTGTGGCTACGTCACTGACTCTGGGCCCGAGAGTCCCCAGGTCTTGCTACACTGCTGGCCAACCAGGTCATCACCCGGGTTCACAGAAGTCTATTGAATGTTGTAGGGCTTAGTTCGCCACTTCATTGCTGTTTTGCCCTCACTTCCCCTTATTGGTGACGAGCGTGGTCACCAATCAGAGCGTGTATTCCCATTGAGTCTTAGTCTTGGAAGGGGTTTGCACTGAGGGGACCCAGCCACTTGCTTTGATGTTTCCTGGGCAAGCAAGTTGCTTGTTCTTGTAGTAACAGTTGGTCTACCTATGTTGTTTTATATTTTTCCTGTAGGTCTTTCTTTCAAGAAGTATCTTCTGTTCTTCTAGCCACTCCAGGCTGGTTGGCTTGTCCTTTCAAGTGGGAATTTCCCATCTCTGGAGATCTGGATGTGGTTCAGACTTCCACCCATAATCTTATGTATTGCAGAGGGTCCGCAGGAAGCCTCCTTCACTGGGCACGTTGTAGCCCCATTTTAAGTGTTCCATCCATTTCATTTTTGACAACTTCCAATTTTCCCAGTTTCATACTTTGTACATTCCATGTTCTGATTTTCAATGGATGTTTACAGCTGTTTCTCTTCATTTTGAGTTGTGCCCCATCAGCAAATGAAGCGTTTTACTCCATTCGCATCATCACAGTCAACTCTACTTTGAGGAGGCACCTCTTCCCTAGTCACATTTTTAATGCCTTCTAACCTGAGGGGCTCATTTTCCAGCACTATATCTGACAGTTTTTCTCTGCTATTCATAAGGTTTTCAGTTACTAAATATTCAGAAGCAGTTCGTCACTCTTTTTTCCTAGTCTGTCTTCATCTGGAAGCTCATCTGAAACCTGTCCACCATGGGTGACCCTGCTTGTATTTAAAATACCGGAGGCATAGTTTTCAGAATCACAGCCACTCACAAGCCACCACAGTACAACAAACTGACAGATGAGTGGGGGTTGCAGTCCAGTTGGTCCCCCTTTTCTACTCACTTCTCTCTCCTTTTCTCTCTTGTAAAATAAAAGGTGTTGCATGCCACACTCCTAGGAACCTATGATATCTGATCAGGGTCATGATGGGATTAAGGGTGATGTAACCCATCCTTAATCTTGTTGGTTTATCACAACAGATCACATCATAGGGGATCATCACATAACTGTCAAGCCACTGAGAATCGTGGCCCAGACAAGCTAACACATATTTTGCTTGGATACAGATACCTCTTGAAAACAATCTAGTGTTGGGGAAAAAAAAGACTTTTTTTTTGCTGAGCAATATTTACAGTGATACTGTTTATGTAACTAAAACCTGCTAAAGATTTGCTGTGGGCACACATATGTGTGTACAAGTATAAAAAAGAGATTGCATTGTTATATGCCAAATATATAAAAGTGGTTACCTCTGGAGAGAAGAGGAGACTGACTTTGGGATTGTAAGTAAAAAGAGATTTGCATTTTTATTTTAATTTTTTTTCATTTTCTCTTGCTCTTTTGATGTTGTTAAGGGGGTCAGTTAGTTCCGACTCATCGAGACCTTGTATAGGGTTTCCTAGGCTGCAAATCTTTGAAGGAGCAGAAAGTCTTATCTTTCTTCTGTAGAGCACCTGGTGGGCTCTAACCTATACCATGTGAGTTATCAAACAACAACAACAACACACCCCAACTATTACTAATTGTAAGTATCTCTGGTAGCGTAGTGGTTACGAATTTGGCTGCTAATCTCACGCTCAGCAGTTTGAAACTACCAGCTGTTCCGAGGGAGAAAGATGAGGTTTTCTGCTCCCGTAAAGATTTACAGCCTCAGAAACCCTGTACATAACAACAAGGAGCAGCTGGTGTGTTTGAACGTCTGACTTTGTGGTTCGCAGTCCAGTGCTGATCCTACAACGCCTTGTTCTTGTTCAGTGCCTTCAAGCCGATTCTGACCCATAGCGACCTTGTGTAGAATTTCCAAGGAGCGGCTGAGGAGCTTGAACCGCCAACTTTGCAGTTCAAACTGACTTTGCAGTCCAGCGCATTAACCCACAGATCCAATGGAGTGAGAGTTTCCAAAATCTTCACTCGTTTTAAAAGCTATGGTGCGAAGATTCCCGCCTTCCGCGTTTCGCCAAGGCAGATAGTTTGGTCCTCTCGGCCCACCGTCCGCGCAGGCTTCCAAAGCAGCCCTAAGCTCCGCCCCCCGCGTTCAAGACGGCGCGAAAACCCAATTGACAAGAACTGCTTGCAAAGCCCTGAGGTCCGGTCTGTGTTTGGTCTGCTTTCACCGCTTCGACTCCAGCCCGGAGCACTCAACCCGGAGTATCCGCTTGCGGACGGGCACCTCGCGCTTCCCAGACGCATTCTAAGTGCCTCGTCACCCGCGCTTTTCTCATCGCCTCTTCCCGCGTTCGACTCAGCTGAGCTGGGCCTGGCCTCAGCGCTCGCTCCGGGCCGGTGGGCTCTAGGCAATACGAAACGGAACCCGAGGGCCGCCTTCATGGCCTACAGGCCGAATGGGCAGGTCCGTGCGAGGTCTTAGGAGCAGGGATACTGGATAGCGGGGAGTATGGTAGGTGTTCTTGCCATGGCGGCGGCTGCTGCTCACCCTCCAATGAAGGACTATGAGATTGAGGTGAGATCGGGTGTCTGCCTAGTTTTTCCTGTGGCTAATGGGAGGTGATCCCGACTGCATTTCTGAGGGGAAGGGAGGAACACCGTGAGTCCCCACGGTAATGACATTGTGTGGAACAGTTGCTGGACAGTGTCGTTTCTTAGAGTCGTGATAAGTCCTGACAAACTTTGGGATTGTGAGATGTTTAGAGGGTCTGGGTAAATGAGAGTTTAAGATACCACGGTCAGTTCCCAGATCCTGAAATGTTAGCGGACCTTCATGTGAAATGTCTGGGAGGATCTGGGCAGGTACTGGGTTCATGATACGGAATCCTAGAATTTTAGGGTTGAAATAGATCTTTAAATGCAACTATTCCACCCCTTTTACCGGTTTTAGGAATGTCATTTTACAGTGTTACTGCTAAAATCCTAAGGGAATCAATTACTCGTGGGCTCTTAGATCGTAGTATATTGCAGTTAGAAGACACAGTGTGACAAGTTCGTTTGTCAAGTTTCAGTGACATGCACTAGCGTTTTGTTTTTTTAAAATAAGATTTTAATATCAGGAAATAATGGGCCTAGCATTTTAAGATAGACAAATGTTTACATTTTTACACTTTTTCATCTCATGACAAATCTAAATTGAAGTATGTATTCTGGTGTCCTTGAATTGGCTAAGATACATGCTTATTTAAGGTATCATTTATTATTATTGTTTTAACCTAGTGTTATTTGCTAATAGTTATGCTGATACTGGCTTGCCAAGTTAGGACAAATTGTCTAGATATGAAGAAGGACTTTTGTTACATAAATTACACAATTCTTGACTTTTTGTCAGTTACATCCATCTTTGGGTCATGGTTTCTGCGTTTGGTGGCCTATTTATTTCCTAATAAGGATCTCTGTTATGCATGGTAAGGTCAAGATTTTATGAAAACTTTGCTTAACATCAATCCTGTAAACCCTTTTCCCAAAACAAACCTATTTTGAGTGGATTCAGGTTCATAGTAGCAGCTGATGGGTTTGAACCGCCCTCTTGTGGTTAGCAGTCCAGTATTTACCCTCTAGTGCCACCCAGAGGTCTTTAACGGCAACTCTGTAAGGAGGTATTATCTCTATTATGCAGATGAGAGGTTAACAAGATTAAGTAATTTGTTTAAAATCTCACACCAGTAGATGACAGGGACTTCTGGTGTGGTGCTGTAAGATAGGCACTGGACTGTGAACCCTAAGATCGGCAGTTCAAACCCACCAGCTGCTCCTCGGAAACCATATACAGGGTCGCTGTGAGTCAGAACCAATTCGATGACACGTAACAACAATAAAGTAGATGACAGACCTTGCATTAATAGATCTGCTGACTCCAGAGCTTGTAGTATAGATAGTACTTTTAATACTATCTCAGGCATTTATAAATACTTATCAGCATTTTCACCTAAAGCATTTATAATTTAATTTTAACACACAATTTTAATCCATCCGTAATTTATTTTGCCTCATATTTATCCAAATGGTTAGAAGTTTGCCACCATACCATTTATTAAATATTCTTTCTTTTGCCACTATTTGAATGCTATTATCTTTACTGTTCCATGGGAGAAAGAGGAGGCTTTCTGCTCCTGTAAAGATTTACAGCCTCAGAAACCCTGTATAGGGTCGCTATGAGTCGGAACCAACTCCACGGCACATAACAACAACAACAACAACATCTTTACTAAGTTCTCACATAGATACTTGTGCCTATTTCTGGTTTTCTAATCCGCTCTATTAACCTGCCTACCTATTCCTGTTTTAGATTAATCTTGATCGCTTTTTTAATTTTATAATACGTTAAATGCCTTTGAGTAAGTTCCGACTCACAGAGACCCTGTGTAGAGATGCTGACGCTATACAGGATTTGAAAGCCTCAGAAACCCTATGCCAGGTCACTATGAGTCAGAACTGACTCCATGGCACTTAACAAGGTAATATTTGTTTTCTATTATGTAAATTGGACCTCTGGTGGTACAGTGGTTAAAAAGCCTTGGAAACCGTACACAGGGTCGCTATGGGTTGGAATCGACTCAATGGCACTTAACAACAATATGTTTCCTTAGATTTACAGACTTAAAAGCCCTACGCGCACTTCTCTCCTATAATTTACTCAACAGAATCCACTCAAGGGGTAGTGAGTTTGGTTTAGGGTTTTAACTTTAAAGCTCATATTATTTTCTGTATCTCAAGTTTGTCACCCATAAGAGTCTTCTGTTCTTTATCCAGCTACTTAAATTTTTAGATCCACATCTAAAATTTTTATTTTGTATAATTTTTCTTGAAATAAGTGCCTGTTTTTTCTTCTTTTAAATCTATAGCCTTGCAAAAAGCGAAGGAAGGATGATGATGGATCTTCCTGTAAAACAATTACAAAATATTTATCATCAGTAGGGAAGAGTGGGGATAGGGTTTTCTGTCCACCAAAATCCAATAATATTCTGGATTACTTCAGAAAGACTTCACCCAGAAATGAGAATAATCAGTCAACAAAAGCGTGTAAGATAAAATCATCTGTACCAGTGCCTATTAACAGTGGCAAGGACTACAAAACACCGCTGGAAATGTTCTCAGACCCAGAATTGAAGAAGAGAGGAAAGAGAGTTAACTTATCTCATCAACTAAATAATATTAAAGCTGGACCTGAATCTATAATTGAAATTAATAGCGATGATAGCAAAGAAGACTCTAGTTTAAATGATGACTTTGTAGAAAGTAGTACTTCTTTTTCACTCCACCAGAAACATACAGAGATACTTACAGAAAGTATTCAAGATATCAAAAACCAGTCAAGCACTATAACCTCCAAACCAAACTCTAAGAAAGTCAATCCTAAACAAGGCACCACACAAAGTGGCTCTAAAAAAAAGAGAAAAAGGAAGTGTAGAGATATAATAGATCTCTCTGAAAGCTTAACCTTGACAGAGGAACTAAATCTAAAACAAGATGCTGGTGAACAGATAATATCTCCTGTAACTGATGAAATAGAGAATACTGTGAGTGAGGCAAGCCCTGGAGATAATGTAGCTAAAATAACCCACTTAAGTGATAATACAATAACTGTCTCATACGAAGAGTTTTTAAAAAGTCACAAGGAAAACAAAGTGGAACAGATACCTGAATCTCCAGTGTCAATATGTATTCCTTTTGAAACTGTTGGAGAAATAGCCAAAAGTGATTATATAAGTGACACAGAAACCTGTGAAAGTTCCCAGCAGGTACACTTTAAGACAGTGACTGTTCTTGCACAAGTTCACTCTGTACCCCCCAAAAAGACTGGGAAAATACCCCCGATTTTCTTGAAACAAAAGCAAATTGAAATGGAAAGTAGTTTTTCTGATCCTGAGAGTGATCAGACACTTCAGAAAAGAAAATCTAATGTTGTTATACAGGAGGAAGAATTAGAATTGGCTGTTTTGGAAGCTGCAAGTTCTGAAGCTGTGAAACCAAAATGTACTCTGGAAGAAAGGCAACAGTTTATGAAAGCATTTAGGCAGCCAGCAACAGATACATTTAAAAACGGAGTTAAAAAGTCTTCTGATAAGAAAGACCTTAATGAAAAGTTTTCACATGAGGAAGGAAGAGATTGTAATTCTAAAAACATCACAGAAAATCTTAATATCCAAATAATTTCAAGTAACAGCAATTCACAGTCACATACTTTTAAAGGACTTTCTACAGAGAAAAGTAAAATGAAAAAGCAAAAGGGTAAGAAAACATTAGATGCTGTGGCTGCACTAAGTGAAAATAGAGAAAGAAATACTCAAAAGAAAGAAACAACCTCTTCCTTAAAAGAAAAGCAAAAGCAAAATAAAGTTAGAATGAAATTAAGACAGAAGAAAACAGAAGTTTTCAAAAGCAGCACATTATCTTATAGTAAAAATCTTATTTGTGAAGATATAACAAAGGATGATCCTTTTAAGATTTCCTCTCGACATAATAATAAAACATCAAGAAAAACCAGTACTCCAGTTAAGGATATCAAAGTTACGTGTTCTGAAACTGAACCTGAAGTCAACTTGGTAAATGTTTCCACACCCAAATCAACCAGAAGATCTGTAAGAAGTAGTAGCACACCTACTACAAAAATCATTGAAAACTCTGATTTTAAAGATGCAGAAGATAATAGTCCCATAAAAGTTGCCACTCCAAAAGCAGCCAGCTTACCAGGAAAGCATAACGTATATACGGCAGAATTAATAACAGTACCCTTTGATTCTGAGAGTCCTATAAGGTAAAGTTTTGTTTTTATTTTAAAATTTTGTTCTATCTAAATTTTAGTATTTTGCATGTAATATCAGCAGGTAAAGAAAATATTCAGAAGCCTCAAGAGATTTTTTTTTTTTCTTTTCCTAGAACAAATTGATTTAACAATGTCTCAAAAATGCTCCTTTTTTTTCACATTTAGTTTATTGTTGGGTATATTTCAGAAGAAGGAACTCTGGTAGCATAGTGGTTAACAAATTGGGCTGTGAACTGCAAGGTCAGCAGTTCGAAACTACCAGCTGTTCCGCAGGAGAAAGATGAGGCTTTCTGCTCCCGTAAAAATTTACAGCCTCGGAAACACTGTTCAGGGTTGCTATGGGTCAGAACCGACTCCACAGCACATCACAACAACAACATATTTCAGAAGAACTGTGGATGTATTTTAGATGAACTATAAACTTATTAAAATTGTTAATTCCTGGAGAAATACCTTTCATATCTGAATTCTGTGCATTTAATGAACATGAGTATAAAAGTAAATTAGAAAGTTATCCAAGTTTTGGGGTGAAGTGAGCTTTAACACTGTGGTATATACTTGCATACTGGTTTCTACGGAAGAGTCATCTTGGTACTGATTTTTTTTTGTGTGTATGTGAATTGGGTGTAGGTTTACAGAGCAGATCATCAGTTTTCCCTTCATACACATTTTGTTTCATTTCACTGATTACAGTCCCCTCAGTATAACCTCACTTATCCCACTTCCTCCCTGTTTCTCATTTCTAATCCTTCTCCTTTCCTACCTCTTCTGAACTTTGTCCTTGGGCAAATGCTGCCCTTTTATCTCAAATGGTGGATCATTGTAAGGTATGCATGTGTCAGTAATGAAAGTGTTCCCTTTACCCAACACCAACAACAAAGTAGATACATCTGTTGTTTGGCTGAAAATTGAACCATGGGGATGAGTTCAGTTCCAGACCTAAAGGGGGATTAGAGGTTGTAGTGTGGGTACTAATTTTTTGTAAAGCTTATTTTTAAAGGAAACATTTTATATTTCGATGTTAAACATTTCCAAGAGTTTATCATTGAGTTTGACTTACTTTTGAATTAGTAGTTTGAAACTGGAATTTTTATATTTTGTAACAGTACAGAAATGGGAGTTCTAGTTAGTTCTTTTCTATATATGAGACTCTTGCACTTCATAATCATGAAAATGTTCCTGAACACCTTTTCCTTTTTCAGAATGAAATTCACCAGAATAAGTACTCCAAAAAAATTTAAGAAGAAATCTAAGAAAAGCTATAAGAAAAAATCTCAGAATTCTGAAGCAACTGATGGAGATTTTACTTCTCAAACTAGACAGGTAATTGAAGTATTAGACATTCCTACAAGTAGTATTCTGTTTCCTTTAAATATCAGCAAAAGCTACTATTTGGTAGTAATAAGCCAAAAGAAGATTCACATATTTCATGGGTTGGTTATGTTAACCACATTCCTAAATCCTAACCATTAGTATTCTTCTCTAGTTAGTTTATTAAAATATCAAGTTATTGTGAGATGAAAGCAATTGATAAGAAGTCTAATTTGCTTAGAAAAAATTTCTTAGAATTACATTCCAGTTTTTTCCTAAGGTTGCTTATAGCCCATGATTAGATATTTGGCTTATTTCTGTAGATTAGAGACTCAACTGAAGCACTGTTAATATTTTTGGCAGTATAACTTTAAGGCAGTGGTTCAAACTCACCCCTATACAGGTTCACTATTAGTTGGAAAGAACTTGATGGCACTTAATAGCAATAATTCTTGGTTGTCAGGGGCTAGGGTTGTGAGGTTTTTCAGGTTTACATGAGAATTAATGGGTACTCTGCTTTTCTTAAGAGCCCCATATTCATAATAGCTCTTTCAACAGAGATGGTAATGATACAGAAGGGTTCTGGGTTCACACTTACGCAATAAAGTACAATGCTACATGCTAGGTATTGGGGATAGAGCTGTGAATAAGATACACATAGTCTCTATTCTCTTAGAGTTTACATTCTTACAGAGAATTCAGGCAGATAAATAGGCAATTATATATAATAAGAATGGTAGGAGTCCTGGTGTGGCGCTGTAGATAAGCACTGGACTGGTAACTGCAAGGTCGGTGGTTCAAACCCACCAGCAGATCCTTGGAAACCCTGTACAGGGTCAATATGAGTTGGAACTGACTCTATGGTACTTAATAACAACAAAATAAGCAGGGAGTAGTCTCAGAACATGTAGGTGGGATACCTGACTTCCGAGAGATGACAAGCTAGGATCTAACAGGATAGGAAGAGTTCTTCCAGCAGAGGGAACAGTGTGTGCAAAGGCCATAGAAGATAATAGAGAATATTTTCATTTGATTTAGGTAGATTCCAGATTGTTACGAAGTTGGACTTCATTCTGAGAGTGGAGACAAGCCATTTGAAGTGGAAGGCATAACATTAGATTTGAATTTTAGAAACTGCAGTATGAAGAATAGATTGAGGAGGGTCAAGAGTTGAGGCTGGGGAGTCTAGTTAGAAGACTTTCACGTTAATCCATATGAGATGTGATTGTGTTCTGAAGGAAATTAGTGAGAAGGGGCTAGTGATTATTTAGGAGGTAGAATTGAGCTTCAGTGAGTGATTTGATGTGAAAGCGAGGAAGAAGTCAAACATGATACCTGGGTTTCTGATGGGTTTTTGCGTGAATGATGATGCCTTTTACTAAAATAGGAAGAAGGCTGGTTTTGGGGAAAGATGAGGAATTGGTTTTGGACAAGTTGTATTTGAGGTATCTGTAGGATATCCAAGTGGATCCATCCTATTAGAGGTGGAGCCAGACATAAAACTGAAGGGTCATCAGCATAATGATGGCAATTGAAGCTGTAAGAATGAATGAAATCCTACAGAGAAAGTGTGTTTGGTCAAAAGAGAAGCTATGTAAGGATAACTCCGGGGAAACTCCACAGCCGTTAGGAATGAGCCAACATGGGAAGAGTGACTGACCTGGTGGTATCCAATCCTGCAGAGATGTTTTTGTTGATATCTACCGTGGAGTGAAATAAGAATTGAAAAGTGTCTTTTGATTCTGGCCCCCTTGACAAGGGCAGTTCAGTTGAGTAGATTGTTTATCTATATTTAGGCAAGGAGGACAGATTGACCCAGAGCTGGAGTTTCTCAGGTAATTGTGACAGAAGCGCAGTGGGGCCATGGGGCTAAGGGAATTTAAGGTATCCCACGCTTTTTTTTTTTTTGCTTTAACAAACAGAAATGTATTCTTTCACTATTTAGGGTGTAGAAGTCCAAATGTAGGGTGCTGGCTTTAGGGCTGTCAGTTCTGGGGAAAGTCCTTGTCTCCTTTCAGCATTCTGTGGACATGTCCAGGCCGTTTGGCATCATTCTTCCCCTGGATCTAGGAGCTTCATAGTGTCGGGATCCCAGATCCAAAGGGCACACTCCACTCCTGGCTCTTCTGTCTTGGTGGTAGAGGGTTCCCTGGGTTCCCCCTTCTCTGCTCTAGAATACTCTTAAGAATAGTTGAAGTGATGGGCAGTGGACTCCAAGCTGGGGGTGGTAAGGTGGAAGATAGAGGCTGATAAGTAGGGAGAAAATATAGAACTATGAGGATGAAAGATCCTGGTAAAGCCAATAGATGTAGTCAGGAGTAACCAAGTAAGAGCTGGGAGGATACACTGCTAGGGTTGATTTAAAATTTGTTTTGATATTTTTATGTATCTGATTTTTTATAAAAACTTATAATCAGAAAAAATTGTTATTAACAAAACCAGTTTTAATAGCCAAAGTACTTGTCAAACTATGTATGTATAGGTTTTTTTCTTTTAACACACATTCATATATCCTTATATAACAGTTTGTTTCAATGACTGAATTTTTTAATCGAAGCTTAGATGAGTTATTTTAAGTATTAACTTGCTATTAGGGTCATTGTTGTTAATACTGTCAAATCAGTTTCAACTCGGGCCCTGTATAGGGTTTCCGAGGAGCGGCTGGTGGGGTTGAACCACTGACCTTGCAGTTAGCAGTCCAGTTCTGATCCACACCAGGACTCTATTGTTGTTAAGTGCCATTGAGTCAATTCCGACCCATAGCGACCCTGTATAGGGTTTTTGAGGAGTAGCTGGTGAGCTTGAACCGCCAACCTTGCAGTTCAAACAGTTTTGCAGTCTGGTGCATTAACCTACAGCGCCACACCAGGACTTCAGGACTCCATTGTTGTTGTTGTGAAGTGCCATCGAGTTGATTCCGACCCATAGCAACCCTGTATAGAGTTTCTGAGGAGCAGCTGGTGAGCTTGAACCGCTGGCCTTGGACTCCATTAGCCTGCCATAAATTTTGCTTCGAGAACAACAGATAAATCTTAACACTCTCCTCCTAATGCATCAACTCGTTAACATTCCTATTCCTCTTGTGTATGCTTGGAATATTAATGCCTTTTGTTTTTAATAGTTTTAAATAACAGAAGTAGATGAAATTAAAAGTGAAAAATGTTTCTATTTTCTCAGTGGGTAATCCACTTTTAATAATTGCATGTTTACCTTTTCAGGTAGTTTTTATAGGCAGTTATTTTTTTTAATTGACGTAAACAATGTGTACCAGAGGTCTTAAAAATGTTTGAAAAATTAAAAGATAATGGAATTTTTCCATGAACTATTTGAAGCTCCCTCATATAGCACTTTGGGAATTCAACAAGTTTCACAGGTACAATTCAGTGACAGCGACTACATTAACCATTTCTGTAACAATCACCAGTTTCCTTGTCAAATTTCCCATCACAATAGATACTTGCTGCTTCCTACATGATGAAGTAAGATTTTAAAAAGGGGACATATAATGTAAACTTTTTTAACTTGCTGTGTGTATTTAATCCCAACACAAAAACCTGTTGTACTTAATATGAAAAGCACATTCTCTGAAAAATAGTATTTTAATACAGTCGATCAGTGCTCGAGCCAGGCCTGAAGTGTTTATTCTTCTCTAGTGTTCTTTCCCATGCTGTGCATGATACCTTTTCAACCTCCCCACAATGGATTCAGCTAAAGTACTTTTTCTATAAACTACATTTACATACATTAATGGAGTTCTGGTGTGGTGCTGTACGATAAGAACTGGACTGCTAGCTGTGAGGTCAGTAATTCAAACCCACTAGCTGTTCTCAAAAATGCTATACAGGGTTGCTATGAGTCGGAACCAATTGTACAGCATTTAACAACAAAAACACACGTAATACACACATATAATTTCACTGTACCTTTTTGCTCTTAGTCTTTTTCCCTATTACTTGTAAATTCCTTGAGTTCAAGATCCACATATTATAATATTGTTGTTTTACAGTGTGTAAGTCAGAGCTGTGTGGTTTGTTCATATTTAAAAAGAACTTTACTAAATTTGGTGACTAAAATCAAAGAATATGTGCCATGGTTTGTGATGGTGGAGACATACCAAATAATATTTATATTACTGTTCTACAAACATACTTCTCAATATTTTCTACATATGTAATTGTATTTATCTGGATAAATCACAAGAAAGAAATGAAAACAAAGCTAACCAAGTATAACTGAATACTTTTAAATCATAGTTCCCTAATATTTCTTAAAAAATCATTTCTTTGTCTCTCATTGAATGTGACTTACAATATTTTCTCTTGATAAATATAAAATCCTTACGAGTGATAATTAATATTTCAAAATTTTGTTTAGGCAAATAATGCTTCAAAAAATATATCAAAAGCAAAACAATTGGTTGAAAAAGCAAAAGCTTTACACATTAGTAGGTCAAGGACTACTGAGGAAATACCAACACCCTTAAGGCGTTCCTCTAGACATCAGGCACTTACGGAAAGGAGCAGATGGTCAGAAACAGATGTAAGTATTATACATTTATTGGTTTAAGTTCTGTTCTGCTGCTTTCAGTGAGAGATGGAAACCATTGTAAAGCTATATAAGGTAGCATTCTATGAGAGCCTTGAGCTGGTAGTTCTGCCTTAAAAGCCTTTGACTCTTTTTTTTTGCCTACATAATACAGTTCAAATCTTTTATCAAGTCATTGTGATCCTTCATATGGTGAACTAGCCATTCCCTCTTCAAAACAGTGCCCTTCTCCATAAACATGTCTATGTTATAGTCTCAAAATTATGCACTTCTTCCCAAAAGATAATTTTCCCTTTGTAGTCTCAACTTGAAACATCCATTCTGTTACTCTCCTCTACCTGAGCAATTTGCTATACAACTTTTAAGATCCTACTCAATCCTATGAAGGTTCACAGCCTTGGAAACCCTATACAGGGTCGAAACTACCAGCTGTTCTGTGAGAGAAAGATGAGGCTTTCTGCTCCCGTAAAGATTTACAGCCTCGGAAACACTGTACAGGGTTGTTATGAGTCAGAACCGACTCCACGGCACTTAACAACAACAACCAAGCCCCTTAAGTGCTACCCTGCCACCTCTTTAAAGCTGTGTTGATGCCTTCAGGCCAAATTGTTTTCTTCCCTATATGTCCAGTCATGTTTTCTTGTTTTTTTTAGTCAGCACTACCCTTTACCACACTGTGTGACAGCCCCCTCGCCCTCTGGGTCACCTACATTTTGGAGTGACCTTGAAGCCAGTTCCTGAGTTTTATTTGTCTGTGTACTCTTTACTTATTAACTCTCTCGTTACCTGACATTTTGCATTTATGACAACTTTGAAAAAGTTCTCAGGCGGCACCTCTGATGTTTTAGATCCCTTACTGGGTGGGACATGGCTGGGCCTAGGGTGCCCTTTGAAGGCCACCCTGAGCAATATACCAGAGAGCTTGTTGATACCTGACTGCAGGACACCTTCTCCCATTTGTCCACAATGTCATGGTCCAGAGGGTGCGGGGCCACCATGGAATGATGTGAGGTGGCAGGCAGGCAAGGAGAGGTTGGGCAAGGGCTTGAGGGTACCGGAAGGGGGCCTGAGTGGGGCTGGTGGGAATGGAGAATACATGTGGTCTCTGCCCAGGGTGGGAAGCAGTGAGTAGTAGACAACACCCAACCCTCACCACTCCCAACACCCACAGGCTCTGTTGTGGTGGGAGAGGGGAGCCTGCCATTCCACATGTATCTCATGATGTGCTGAAGGCACCCATGGGCAGTGGGAGCGGGAGGGAAGGCAAGGATACTAGGTCAAAAATGGGACACTACTGACTCACATAATGCTGATTTCACATAATACTTGGTCTTTCATGCCTAACCAAGTGGATAAGTGAGGAGTGGGTGTATTGCCTGATACATGGTAGTCTATAATTACTTCTTTAGAAAGGAAAACCCTCAGTTATAATAAGCCCACATCACATAAACTTGTGTGGTGTGGGCATAGACTACCCTTTACAGCGAGTGTTTTCTGTTACAGTCAGATAATGTTTCATGGAGAGATGTATGGAATTGCTAATTTAATGATATTGTCTATATATCATATGCCTTTAAATATGTAATAGACTTAAATTTTTTTTCTTTTATCTAGGACTCTGTAATCATAATAGATTCAAGTCCTACATCATCAAAGCAGCCTGAGAAAAATCAGAAGAAGCTTAAGTGTTTGAATGATGTGCTGGGAAAAAACCTTAACCAGTCACCTAAAAATGTACCTGGTAATCAGACTTAATAACATTAATGAGAAAAATCTCAAGTTTTTGGGGGTGATTATATGGTTTTGGATGGTTTTATGATATAAATTTAATCTCTTATGTTAGAACATATAAAAATTGAAACTGATTGAATAGTGTTTGGTTTCATAAGTAGAGGTATGCAGTTCTGGTGTGATGCTGTAGGGTAAAGCACTGGACTTTAAGGTTGGTTTGAACTACAAGGTCAGCAGTTCAAATTTACTAGCCACTCCTTGGAAACCCTACACAGGGTCACTATGAGTCAGAACCGACTCAGCGGCACTTAACAACAACAACATAGCATAGTGAGTTTTGGAAGGAGGCAAACTGAACTTTTATTGTGTTCCAACTTATTAGCATAACGAAATTAGTGGAACCTTGGTGTGGCACTGTAGGATAAGCATTGGACTGCTTATGGCAAGGTCAGTGGTTCAAATCCACCAGCTGCTCCTTGGAAACCCTACACAGAGTCGCTGCAAATTGGAACCAACTCGATGGCACTTAGCAATGTCAGCAGCAAATTGTTGTTGTTCAGTTCCGACCCTTAGTGACGCTGTACAGGGTTTCCAAGGAGCAGCTGGTGAGTCCAGCACATTAATCCACAGTGTCACACCACGACTCCAGCAGCATATTAGTGGTTCCCAAATCTCTCTGGTCATCAGTCATCTGGATAAATTTTATGTCTCTACAGTTTTAAAGTTTCCTATCTTTAGGTCCTTCCACAGATACCTTTTTAAAAAGTTTTTATTGTGAATTGAGTGAAAGTTTACAGGGCAGATTATCAGTTTTATATTCAACAAATCATATTTTGTTTCACTGCAATGATTATAATCCCCTCCATGTTCCATCAGTTAACAGTATTTACCTTTATAACATATATATATATATATACACACACACACACACACACACACACACACACACACACACACATACACATACAAACCAAAATATACATATTTGTTTAAATGTCCAAGGGGGATTTCCATAGCTATCTTGAATAAAAATCTCCAGAGGTATGTTGTGGTAATCTGTAGTTTAAAAAAAAAAAAAATTCCTTAGGAGGTTCTAATACTGTCAGTTTGAAGAACTATATCATTATGCAAAATGTATTTAATAAGAAATAAATAAAGTTAATTAAAAAATGAAAAGATAAATAATTTTGAAAGTAGCTGTAGGTAAGTAAAGATGGAAAACATTTGATACTAACCTAAGTCTTTATTTTTCTAAGGAAAAATGAAAGTCGCTCCTTTATTTCGTGCCAGAAAAGCTCAAAAACCAGCTGATCCTATCCTTGAATTCGATGAAAGCAGGTCAGTTCAATACAAATTTTTAAAATATGGAATATATTATGTATTTATTTGTTTACTCTGATGAGCAAATGGGTATTTATTGCTTGAAGCTTTAATAAGTTCAAGAGATGGCAATATTAACAATGATAAAACTGTTTGAAGATCTTACTTTTCTGCCAAATTATTGTGCCCATCTGCAAACAAAATAGCTAAATAACAGCAAACCCCCAAGATCTGATTATAAATTTCATTAAAGAATTTTATCATTAAGCTAAGAGCAATAAACAGCTGCCAAAGGTCTTTGGAGTCCTGGTGTAGTGCTGTGGGTTAAAGCACTGAACTGCAAAGTTGGTTTGAACCTCAGGGTCCACGGTTCAAGTTCACCAGCCTCTTGCAAATGCTATACAGTATCTCTGTGAGTAGGCACTGACTCGACAGTACTTCACAACAACAACAAAGGGCTTTAAACGTGATTGTGAACACAACAGATTGGATTTTTAAAATTTAATTAGGCTGTTGGTTTAATTTGGCTATTATATAAAGAATGGTTTGGAGGCGGGGTTAGAATGGATGTCAGAGTCCTGTCATGGGATGATGGAGGTGTAGAGTAGGATGTTGGAGGTGATGTAAAAATATTTAATATAATAACCCTTGGTGATTAATTAGATGGGGAGGGGTGGGAAGGGAGAGGAAGGTGTTAAGATGGCACCAAAGTTTCTTCTTTATGCAATTGGGGGCACAATAACAGACTAGATAGGGACATCATGAGTCCCTATCTACTTTGGTATTATTTTATTTTTTCACTTTATTAATGGTAAATGCATGGATCCCAAGTGTCCTGTTTTGACAAATGAACATACATCAAGATACAAAATTAAATATTTTATCCCAGAAAACTTATCTGCTACTCCCCTTCACCACCGTTATACCAAGAGTAGACCTATTTTCATTTTTAAGACTGTAGATTTGTTGGTTCTTTTCTAGTACTTCATTGAATCTAATATACACTATTTACTATTTTGTATCTGCCTTTTTCCACTTGCCATGATGATTCTGAGACTTGTTGTCAAATATATCAGTAGTTGATTCTTTTTTTGTGTGTGTACTGAGTTTGATGTTAAGTGTCATCAAGTTGGTTCCAACTCATAGTGACCCTGTATAGGGCTTCTGAGACTAAATCTTGCAGGAGTAGAAAGTCTCATCTTTTTCCCATAGAGTGACTGGAGGACTCGAACCACTGACCTTGTGGTTTGTGGTCCAGTGTGTATCTTACAGAGCCAATTTACTTGTATATTAATCTGTTGATATACATTTGGGTTGTTTCCAAGTAAGCTATTGTGAGCAAAGCTGTTAGGAACATTCATGTATAAGTTTTTGTGTGGGTGCACATTTTCATTTCTTTGCATAAATATGCAGAAATCAGTGTACACAACTCTGAAAATGTTGGTTCTGAAAACAAGGTGGTCACTAGAGAGGAATGAACATCAACTCAGGTTTTTTAACTTAATAAGAGAGATTTGATCATGTTTAAAAGTCACAGAGAAGGATTGAGAAGAAGTTGAATACTTGAGAGAAAGAATGATTGATGGTTTTAAGGTTTGTAGAAAGGCTACATGGGCTGAGTACCAAAGTTACTTTGATGGGATTTAGTTTATTGGTCAACACACATGGAACTTGCAGTCAAGAAATGAAATGACATGTTGCATTAGACAAGTCTACTACAAAGGAACTCTTTAAAGGGTTAAAGCAAAGATGTTACATTGATGACTTAGGTGCACCTGACCAAAGGCATGGTCTTTTCAGTTGTCTCAACATGCATGAAAAAGCTGAATAGTGAAACAAGAAGCAGAAGAATGGATGTATCCAAACTACGGTGTTGGCAGAAAATGTTGAATATACCTTGACTGACAGCAGACCAGTCAGTCAGTCAGTTAGAAGAAACAACCAGAATGCTCCCTAGATATAAGAATGATGAGACTTTAGCTCACTTACTTTGGATGCATTACCAGGAGAGACCAATGGCTGGAAAAGGTCTTTATGCTAGATAAAGTAGAAAGTTATCAAAAACAAGGGAAAGCCTCAGTGAGATGGAGCTGGACTAACACAGTAGTCACAGCAGTGGACTCAAACATACCAGTGTTCAAGCACGTGGCGCACAGCCCGTCAGCATTCTGTTCTGTTGTACGTAAAGCATCGTGAATCACAACCAGTTCAACAGCAAGTCTTTTTTTTTTAAGTTTTTATTGTGAATTATGTGATAGTTTACATGGGAGAACACCAACTTTACATTTATCCTATCGTATTTTATTTCATTGCCATGGTTACAATTCCCTCCATGCATCATCAAACAACCAGAGGGTCCCGGCCATAGGCACACAGCCCCTCTCCCTCCCTGAGTCCAGAGTCCCCAGCCACTCCATCTCTCCACTGTTTCTCTTGGTAGGGTCCTACGCTCCACTCTTCTCACTTGATGGTCCCAGGGACCTCAGCTCCTAGACTGCAAAATCAACCACTCCCCTCCTTTTGTTACAAAACATCTACCTTTACATTTCTGACCTTCACAGTCAGTCCTGATAGTAATTATTCACTATTGTACCACAAGAGTCTTATCCCCATCTCCTTTCATCAGCCCCAACCCAATAGATTGGAAACCACACAGTGAGATTCTACCGTCCCCCATCCCCTCTGGAACTAGGCTTCCTCTTGAAAGCTTGTAAGCCAGTCACTTCTTGCCTTGTAGCCCCCCCATTTTGGGTAGCCAATGTCTAAGTTGCCCATTCCTGTCAACCCTGTGTACCGAGGAGGGTGGGAATGATCCTCACCAACAGCAAGTTTTAACTGGACAGAGTGCAGCTTTTGTATTCTGAGAGGAGACAAAGGGAGATAGAATGCTGAATAGATTTGTGTGTTTTTGTATAAAGAAGCTGATCTTCCCATCTGTTGCCTCTTTCTCTGTAGTGTGAGATTTGAGGTCACCTGTTAAAGGTGAGGAGGTAGGAGTGTGCAGAAATGATAGGCTCATATTGGTTATCGCAAAAAGAATTGGACCAGCTAACAATCAGGATATGGATGGAATTTTTCTCGATTAAATGAAAAAGTGTTTATTTTCTAGATAGCATATTCTTTTATGTGTTTTATGACCATAGTTAACTTTTTCAAATCATTTTCTTAAAAGTCAAGATACATCTGGAAAATCTCAGAATTGTGATGTGCAATTTAAAGCAAAGCGTGAATTTCTAATGAGTGGCTTGCCAGATTTGTTGAAAAGACAGATTGCAAAGAGGGCAGCTACGCTGGATGCATACAGTGCCGCTAGTATCAGTTTCCAGAAAGTTGTTCATATTCAACAAAAAGATGATGGTAAGTTTTTAATTATTTTTGAATATTTACTCTTCAAATGTTAGAAGTGATATGAAACTACATGAATTGATTCAATATGAGGCTAAGGATGAAATAGAATGTGACTTTTAGTGGGAATTTTAAGTGGGTGTTTCATCTTCTTCCTCATACTAGGACTCATTTTAACTGAGATTGGGGCAGTGGGGCAATGAAGCCAAAGACTTCCTTACTCCTTCCTTCAGAGATAACAGGCCAGAAAGGTACTATGTTCTAGAAGGAAAACAGTTCCTTCTGAAATCATAACCCTCTGTAGCACAGAAGAGCTCGAGTTCTTGCTCTGTTTACTGTCAAGTGGTCAGAGGAAGTCAGTGTGCTTCCCTTTCAGGACAGTTTTTATTGTTTAGTACCATATAAGCGTTTTCTGGAAAACATAGGTAACAACATCTTGATTGCTCGAGATCTTTTCTCACGTGCACCCTGTGCAAGAGTGAGCTGTTTGCCTGAGTCCCTTGTACAATGTATTATTACCCTGATCATTATCCAATTCTGTTTGGATTCAAATACTATAGCAACCACAGTCATACTTTACATGTAGTTTATAATCACTGATAATGTACAGAGCCCTATCTATGTCTTTAATTGTTCATGATTCCTACATGGAGCTATTTTTTCTTTTGTTGTATTGAACTATTCCTTTAATCAACTAGCTAGATTTATACAAATAAGTATCAAGGGCAAGGCGAAGCAGAAACAAAAGCACTATGAAGCTATTAACATTGATGACATTGAAAAGATCCAACTCTTTTGTGTGGACCCTGTCTTTACATCTTTTAGCAATTTGCTCAAACCTGTGAAGCTGTCACATAAAATAGATGTCCATTTATTGAGACTTTAATGTGGGCTTGTGATACGTTAAGAACTTTACATGCATCATTTTGCATAATCCTATTTATTACTACTTCATAGCTGAGGCTAGAAAAAAATTAGAAACTAGACATAAACAGAGCCTCTATTGGGACTTGAATTTAATTCATTGATTCATACATTGATTCAGAAAGTTTTAGTTTTGTTTTGTTCTTGAGCATTTATCTTGTTAGATTTAGCTTCTGTTTATACCTAAACCATTCTACTGTATCACCAACAAATAAATGCCTTGTGTCTCCATAGAGCTATTCTTATCAGCACAAAAACAGTTAGTATTCTCCTCAGCTGGCTTTGTGATTTGGTTCTGTTCACTTCCTCTGGCCATGTTCTATACTGTACTCTGTTATATTTTCCTTTTACATTTTGTTCAGCATATCTTTCTAGTAATCTCTATTGTATTTCCCACGTGGTTAATGGCCACTTAGTTGATCAATCCTTTCTTATCTCTGCTAACCCAGTTTGGGAAATTTTTGTTTTTTTAATTTTCTCAGTACTCATAAAAAGAGCTTGGAAGCAGCATCTGACCTACTCTTACTTCACAAGGGGGGAGGAGGAGAATCACAGTCAGCCCAAAGCCAGTTCCTATGAGGCTGAGGTCAGACATGCTTCCATCCTCCAACCTTATCAATTCTGACACCAACCATCTTTCCCATGGCACTCAGGTACTGAGTTTCTCAGCTGTGTTCAATAATTCATTGCAATGGCTACGCAACTCACAGAGCATATACAATTATGGCCTTTATTAGGAAAGTTAACAAGTTACAGGATCAGAAATGTTCAAGAGACAGTTCTTTAGTCAGGATAGCGTCTTCCCAGTCATGCCTCTCTCTGGTCCTTGTCCTCTAAGCCACATGTTCCCTTGGCCTCTGCACTGCTTGGGCACTATTACAAAGCTCTTTTAGCACTGTTAATAAATGCCCAAAGGGCACTCCATTCCACCATAAGCCTCAGCCCAAAGGTGCTCACTCAGCTCTAGCTCCATGAGTCAGCATACCTAGCTCCCCCAATTAAGTACCTGGCGGTACCCCACTCCACAAATAAGCTTCCTGTCTGAAGGCATTCAACTTTACTCGTTCAGTGGGCCAGGAAGAAGCCCACTACTCGGGCTCATGCTCTGGCTCTTGATTCTGCTGCTATTGCTCTTTTGCCACTGCTCTTTCACATCTTTGATGTCACAGCTTTCTATTTCCTGGATTGAGGAGGTTTAGTGGTCCGGGATTTCAGGGTCAAAGGACATGCTCTGTTCTTGGCTCTTCTGCCTTGATGGTAGTGAGATCCCCCTTCCTGTTTCTGAGATGGCTCATTTTAAACCCAGCAGGATGGTGAAATTGACCAATCCCTCGTTAAATTTCCAAGTCTTTACAATCACAAGGAACCTTGTTAACAGTCACTCACAACTGAATCACAAAATCCTATCAGCATTTCCCCTCCGCACACACTTTTCTTACTCATACCCATCGTGGAAAAAGGAATTAATACACTCAGTTTGTGCAACTGTTCCAGCCAGTTTGCTGGGACTTAGTAAGACTATGGCTAGAAGAAGAACCATATGAAGTAATTCACTGCTCTGCAGGACCCTAAGAGTTATTGAACACTTTATGAGCATACCTAGTTTAATCCCTATAATAACTCTAGAAGGTTAAGTATTATAATTGCCATCTGGACTTTGCAGATGAGGTAACCAACTGCCATGATCATATAGGTATTAAGTGTCAGAGTCTGAGTTTGAATCAAGTTCTATCTCATTTCAGAGTTCAGACTTTGAACCAGGATGCTTAACTTACTGCCCCTAAAATTTTTACTGTGAGTTCCAAGGTGGAAAGAAGCACTGGTGGTGCTGTAGGATAAGCACTGGACTGCTAACTGTAAGACAGTTCAAACCTACCAGCTGCTCCACGGAAGAAGATGAGGCTTTCTGCTTCCATAAAGATTTATATCCTTGGAAACCCCAGAGTTGTTGTGAGTCAGAATTGGCTTGATGTAAATGAGTGAGGTTTTACTTTTGTAACTTTTATTATAAGTGAATTGACTGAAGGTTTACAGAACAGATCATCAGTCCCACACTCAACAGACCATACACTCCATGTTGTTACAATGATTGCAGTTCCTGCCATGTTCCGTCAGTTCGTAGTCTTTACCTTTACTCACTTTAGTGAGTTTGATTTTTGAGTTATCAAAGTTGAATGTTTTTTGTTTTTTGTTTTTTTTTTTTTAAGAAAGTTTGCTCATATTTACTTACTTTAACACAAAGAGAGAAGACTAGGGAATTTTTATTAATGGTGTTTGCTGAAAGTGAGGAATTTGTCCCTGTGTAGTTGTTTGGTTGTGGTACTTTTCTACCAAGTCTTTCAGTGTTTACATATTTAGGATTTAATAAATGAATAGTATATAAATGAAATTAAGAAAATCTTCCTCTTTTCCTTTAGGGTGCCATTTGTGGCATTTGACACCACCCTCTTGTCCTCTTTTAACTAAATTTAAAGAACTGAACACTAAAGTAGTAGATGTTGCAAAACATGCTCTTGCTCTTGGTGACTTTTCAACATTGACTTCAAGTTCGAAAAGTAATCATTCTGCTGTTACGGTAAGTATTTGAGAGCTCAACCATTGTCACAGTGCTTTTTTCACAGGAATACATTTGAATATACCTAATATAGTCTAAGGAACTCTGTCTGGTAGCGTAGTGGTTATGAGTGTGGCTGCTAACCTTCAGGTCAGCAGTTCGAAACTACCAGCTGTTTCACGGGAGAAAGATGAGGCTTTCTGCTCCCATAAAGATTTACAGCCTCGGAAACCTGTACATGGCACACCACCACCACTATTATAGTTTAGAGTTCATTTTTCCGTCATTTAAAGAGTAAATACTACTTGAAGTGTATATCTCTTTTAAATATTCATAGATCTTTAAAAACATTTTAAGAATTAATGATTACCAGTTTCAAAGGAATCAGTCAGTATTATAATCTAATAAATTTGTAAATTACAATAAATTCAAAGAGCAACAAAAATATGCAGCTTTGCTATCACAGTTGTAATCACTGGCTAAAGCTACTCCTAACATATTTATGAATAATAGAAAATGGCTATTTGCATTATAATTAACATTAAAAGATGATATGAGTCTTTTAATAAGTATTTTATCTTTGTTGCAGTTCGTGGGAACAAGAAGGTCTTTTACTGAAGACATAAGGAATCTTTTGCTGGAGGAAATTCAGTGGTCAAATCCTAAATTCCCTTTGAAAAATTATTTCCCTGTACTTCTTAAAAAACGGAATGAACATCTGGCACTTTGTGAATGTCTTGGTAAACAAGGTTGGTTCATGATGATTGTTATAAAATTTATTTTAGAATATCAGTTTTGAAAACACTAAGACTTTGCTATAACTTTTAGAAGTAGTTGCCACAGACAGAATATTACTTATAGCTGGCATGGAGAATGCCGCAATTAACATAAAAGCAACTTGTGCCATTTAGTGTTTGTTGTCTCCTGCCAGCTTCCATATATGCCAACCCAAACACAATTATATTAACATAATAAGCATTCATTTACGGAAAGACCTAGGTGAGATCATTATAATTTAATAGCTTGTACAAAAGACCGTATAAATAACAGTGGCAGCTTGATTCGAGTATGCCACATTTGGTTGTTACCCTTATATTTTATTTTATAAGACAATTGGATTCGAGGGTAAGTAAAAAATATTGCTACAAAATCATTTGTTATTGTCGTTGAGTTGATTCCAACTCATAGCAACCTGTATAGGGTTTCTGAGACTTTAAATCTTTGAGGGAGCAGAAAGTTTCATCTGTCTCCTGAGGTACAGTTGGTGGGCTTGAACTGTTCACCTCGTGGTTCACAGTCCAGTGCTTATCGTATAGAGCAACTGCACTCCCTACAAAATCATAGAAACCTTTATGAAACAAAAATATCAAATTGTGAAGCTATTGTTTCTCAACAATACATCCTCCATCTTGGTCTGTACACTTCTAAAGGTGGTGTTTCCAACTCTCTAACCCTTCCCCAGAGAATTCTCATCTCTTCAATATGCACCATGTCAAAATGGAAGTTTTAACACCCTTTAAGGAATCAAGTCACGTTCCTTTTAAATATTTTTTAAGTTTTGGGAACAAAAAGAAGTCTGAAAGGACAAGGTCAGGGCTGTAGGATTATGGGGTAAAGTTTTCCAGTGAATTTTGTTGGATATCCCTTGCTACCCTTAAAGAATGAGAATGTACCTTTTTCTCACCAAAGCAATTTTCTGGATTCTTAAAACTTTTTCCTAATTTTAAGAATTAAAATTAAAATTTCTCCAAAGGCACAGGACAATTATGGACTTACTAAAGTCCTGTATCTTTGGAGAAAGGCTACCAAATTGCTCCTTTGGAATTCCTAATACCATTCTTCATAACCTTCTGAGTTGACCTTTCTGCCTTGAGTCCAACTGGTCCTGCAGATCCCCTCAGAAGGCACTGTGTGAACTGAACCTTTGTTTTGAAAGTGCCCTACCAAGACCAAGACTAAGACACTGAGAGAACTTGTGTGCAGCCATCCACTTCTCATACAGACACGTTTACACACTTTTTGCTTGGAATGAATTCATGCATGCATGAACTGGCATTCTAGTAGCAATGCTTCTCATTTACCCTCATATTTTGAAATGATATTAAGGTTGTTAATGTTACCGCTGTCTGTTGTCATTGAATTAATTCTGACTTATGATGACCCCTTATGTACAGAATAGAAATGCTCCATAGGGTTTTCTGCCATGTCTATCTCCCAAGATGCCTCTGGGTGGTTTGCACTGCCAGCTTTAACATTAGTAGTTGAACATTTAACCATTTGTTTGACTTAGGGATTCTGATAATTAAGATTATACCAAAAAAACCAAATCCATTGCCAATGAGCGATTCCAACTCAGAGTAACCCTATAGGACAGTAGAACTGCCCCACAGGACTTCCAAGGCTATAATCTTTCAGGAGCTGACTGCTACCTCTTTTTCCCTCAGAGTGGCTGGTATGTTCAAACTGCCAACCTTTTGGTTAGCAGCTGAACACTTTAACTACTGTGTCAACATGATTCCTTATTAGGTTTGTTTTTGTTATGTGCCATTGAGTCAGTTACAACTCATAGCTACCCTTTGTAAGGTTTCCAAGGAGCAGCTGGTGGGTTTGAACCACTGCCCTTTTGATTTGCATTCCATTACTTATCCTACAGTGCCACACTAGATGTCCTTATTAACATAATTGGGTATTAAAATTGTATTTTATTAGTAAATGTGTGTATATGTATAATTCTCATAATAGACATTTCACAACTGGAACCTACTGTTAATACAAAAGAAACCAAAAGGAAACGAGTGGATGCTGAAAATTATAAGTCAAAAAGAAAGAAACCAAATGAATATTCAGAAAGTCCGAAAAAGACAAGTGGGAAACCAGAAGAACTACATGGAAGAAACAACTCCTCTGGGATAAAGTTAGATTCTTCCAGAGGTATGTTTTCTGAAACATGCAGGAAGAAACAAACTGCTTTGAGTATATATAACATGTAAAGTGGAAACGGAAACAGTAGATGATTTTGATATTCTAGTAATAGGTAATGATGACAAAGAATCAACACACGAAGTATCTTCTATTCCTGGTAAATTTTATTTTTCCCTCTGGTCGTAAAACTTTTTTGCTATTTTAACCTCGTTTTTTGCCCTTCTGTATTTTAATATATGCTCACTGCAATGTTTCAGTAACATATGTTGTTGTTGTTGTGTGCTGTGGAGTCAGTTCCGACTCATAGCAACCCTGTACAGGGTTTCCAAGGCTGTAAATCTTTACGGGAGCAGAAAGCCTCCTCTTTCTCCTGCGGAACAGCTGGTAGTTTCGAACTGCTGACCTTGCGATTCACAGCCCGATTCGTAACCACTACGCTACCGGAGCTCCTCACATATGAGTTGTTGTTAAGTGCCGTCAAGTCGGTTACGACCCATAGCGACCCCGTACAGGGTTTCCGAGGGTGTAAATCTTTACGGGAGTAGAAAGCCTTATTGTTTTCCCGCGGAGCGGCTGGTAGTTTCGAACTGCTGATCTTAAGGTTCGCAGCCCAATTCGTAACCGCTACGCTACCAGAGCTCCTTAAGCATATGTGTATAAAAATATGATATGAAAGTCTCGCTAATTAGAAATAAGCATGTTTAACAGACTGCTATTTTGATGTTATTGTTAGGTGTTGCTGAGTCTTGAGTTCTGACTCATAGAGACTCTACATAGGAGTCCTGGCATGGCACTGTAGAATAAGCAATTGAGACCATAAGGTCGGTTTGAACCACAAGGTTGGCAGTTCAAACTCACCAGCAGCTCTTTGGAAACACTCTACAGGTTCGCTTTGAGTCAGAACCCACTCGATGGCACTTAACAACAACAGTAGGCTTTCTGAGGCAGTAAATCTTTACAGGAACAGAAGGTTTCATCTTTCTCCCTCAGAGCCTCTAGTAGATTCAAATTGCTGACCTTGCGATTAGTAACCCACTACGCTACCAGGGATTAACGATAGTAGATTTTAATATTATTTATTATTACATCACATTTTATGTCACATGAGAAATGTCTTTAAACTTTCTAACTAGGAATTTGCCTATTTTAAATATTTAATATAAGTGATATGGGGTAGGGGTCCAAATACATTCTTTGGCATATGGAAATCCTATTGTCCCAACACTATTTATTGAAGAGACTATTCTTTCTCCATTAAATGGTCTTGACACTCTTGTTGGAAATCAGTTAGCCATAGGTGTATGGGTTAATTTCAGAAGTCTCAGTTCTGTTTTGTTGTCTGTATGTCTATATTTGTGCCAGTACACTGTTTTGATTACATTAGCTTTGTAGCATATTTTGAAATCCAGAATGTGACTTTTGTTTTTTCCCCTTAAATTTTTTTGGCTTTTCAGAGCCCCTTGCAATGCCATATGCATCTGAGTATCAGCTTTTCTATTGCAGAAAAAAGACTGTTGGCATTTTGACAGGATGTCTTCCCATTTCTTTAAATCATTAAATTCTTTCTGTAGTATTTTGTAGTTTTCAGTCTATAAGTTTTTGTTGCTTTTTTTTAAACTTTTTATTGTGAGTTAAGTGAAGATTTACAGAGTAGATCATCAGTTCATCAGTTTCACATTCAACAAACCTTACACTTTTGTTCACTACATGGTTGCAATCCCCTCCATGTACCCACAGTTAACAGCATTTAACTCTATTCACTTTAACTATGGCATTCCACCCTGTCTCCCACTGCCTTCATCTTTCTTCTGCTAACCTCCTCCTTGTTATATATTGCCTGCCCTGTCTCCCAGGTTAACATGTGTCTACCATCTAGCTCATGAATAATTTTCTTTTTTTAATGTTTTACAACATTGGTCTCATGCAATGTTTGTCCTTTTATGATTGACTAATTTCACTCAATATAATGTCCTCCAAGTTCAACCATGTTGTGAGGTGTTTCACAGATTCATAATTATTCTTCAATGTATTTGAGGGCCAGCTTTGGCTATCTTTTAATTTTTCCTGAGCTGCTCTCAGGATTCTTTGTCTTTGATTTTGAAAATTTCATATGCTATGTCTTGGTGACTTTCTTTTGTGATATATCCTGTTTGGGGTTCATTCAGCTTCCTGTTTGTTTACCTTCTCGTCTTTTATGATGTTAGGGAAGTTTTCTTCCAACAACTCTTTGACACTTTCCTCTGTGCTTGTCTTTTCCTGTTCTGGAATTGTGATCACTCCTAAGTTGTTCCTCTTCATGGTGTCTCACATAACTGTTAGGCTTTCTTCAGATGTTTCATTCTTCTAATTGTTCTAGCATACTAGTATTGAGAGATTTGTCTTCAAGCTGACTAATTCGGGCTTTCATTTGCTTTGAATCTACTCCTTTGCCCTACCTATGTATTGTGTATTTATGAGATCTTAATATTAATTTGGATTTCTGATTGTAGGTTTTGTATTGTTTCAAAATTTGTGTTAATTTTTTCTGTCTGTTTTTGTCATGTTTTCTTGCATTCTTCTGATGTTTTTAATGTGTTCTTCTTGCTTTCCTTGATCTTTCCATTGATCATTTGAAGGTACCTAATTATCATTCTTTTGAATTATTTTTTCTGTTAGTTCTAGTACTGCTTCCTCCTCAGAAATGTTTTCTGGCTCTGCATCTTGGTCATTTGTTTGAGCCATTCTCTCTTGTTTTTTGGGTGATCTAAAATTGTCTGTTGTTTCTGGGGCGTTGTAAAAACAAACAGTGCAGTTATTGGACCCAGAGGGGAGAAATCTTGCAATTCAAGGAGCTCACATGGTGGTTGTGGAAGGGATGTGACAGCAGAGTTTCCGGCCCTAGATGAAGTTTCTACTGGCTTTGGTGTTACCTATGTTCAGGGCACTCAATCTGGAAGTAGTTGGTGGGGGCCCTGATGGAGCTGGTTTCAGTGTCTGTTAGGACTACAGAGAAGTTGGGGGCAGGGAGTTTGTTTAAATGCTGGGCTGGTGGCTTTGCTAGTGCTGTAGGTTTGGAGCCAAGCCCACCTGAATCCTCATACAGGCAGGACTCTCAACTGTGAGGTTCTGAACTCTCAGAGCACAATCTGTACTGTGGGTGGATGAGGGTAGGAGCTGGCCACACTCTGGTCACCAGGGGAACGTGGGGAAAAATAAGAAATCATACCTTTACCATTGCCCATGTGACTCTGCTCTGCCAGGCCTTCCTCTGCTCCCAAAGCTGCTTACAAGATGGTGGAACCATGTCTGGCCAGCCTTCACTGTCAGTCTCCCTTTTTCACTGTCCTTGCTCGGCCTTTCCTCCCAGGAAGCACTCCATCCATATCTCTAATTTTTCTTCTGGGGTTCAGAGTGCCAGAAGTTTCATCTGTATCTGTTTTGTCTCTCATATTTATGTTGGAAAGAGGCCATGTAGTGCCTAGTCTGTCATCTTGCTGGAAGTCAAGTCCCTAAGTTCTTTACCTCTTTATTTAATCATTATTTAAAAATAAAAATAAACTATTTTCTTGCTTTATAGTTTAAATGAACTGCCACATTTTCCCATCTGCCCACCATGTTAGGGATTTGATTAATTTGGAGTGGATTGGTATCTACAAATACTTTGTCTTCTCAAAAAAGGGCCCTGGTTTGTTAGTCTTTAAGCACTTGGCTACTAACTGAAAGGCTAGCATTTCCAACCCACCATGGGAGAAAGATGTGGCAATCTTCTTTAGTTAAGATTTCAGGCTTGAGAACCTTATGGAGCACTTCTATCTTGTCCTGTAGAGTTGCTGTGAATCAGAACCCGCTCAACAGCAACAGGGATTTTTTTTTGTTATTTTATTTTATTTTTTAGACTCAGTGAGCAGTGTAGCATATCTTTCCATTTACTCAGCTTAACTTTGGAGGATGATTTAATCAGTTTCTTTTCAGTTGTCAAAGTGAGCCCATTAAAGAATCTGTCTCTCTGTGCCTTTGCTCTTTAGACTATTGTTTCTTATGCTACAAATGATCTTCCTTTTTCTTTCTTTTTTTTTTTTTTGCATTCACAGTTTTTAATTTGTTGGGATAATAGGTACATTATACAGTAACTGATACTTTCTTATACAGTTCATATTTCAGTACATCAACACTATTTTATTTACATGCCTAATATGTTTCACATTTCTTGAGTTATTAAAATTTTTAATGTTTACTTTTAAATCTCACTTTCATGGCACTTTATGGTGGGTAGTTTTTTAAGAGGGATCTATTTTGGTGTAAAGAATTTGAAATCTAAAGTCTTCAATTTACCTATTTGGCATTTTTAAATTACAAATATGTTTGTAAATACCTATCATTCTGTTATAATAGGATTATAAATTTAAGTTAGGAATATATATTTGTGTCAAGAGATTACCTTAATGTATATTTTTTGCTTTAGATTCTGGGCTTGAAGACATGCTTTGGACAGAAAAATATCAACCTCAAAACTCCAGTGAACTCATAGGCAACGAGCTAGCTGTTAAAAAGTTACATAGGTTTGTAACATTTTCTGAAACTAGTTTTACTATTTTGCCTTTTAAATTTATATTTAAAAATTTAAATGATAAAGTATTGTATTCTATGACAAGCTCTTTTTTAAAGTGAATAGAGGTAACCATTATTAAAGGTTTCCTGTAAAATCGTCAAGAAAAAATTTTGTGCAAATATTAATTTCTTCTTTCTTAACAAATTGGATCATAGTAGTACTAATAAGGGTCCACAATCCCTTGTCTATAATTCCCAAATCCAAAAAGTTTTAAAAACTGAAAGTGTACAGGTTATTTTTAAATGCCTGTGGTCTATCCCACTTAATCCGAGTGTTGTGCTGCAAGTTAATGCACTGGACCACAAGGTCAGTTTGAATCACAAGATCGGCAGATCAAACTTCACCAGCCACTCCATGGACACCTGATACAGGGTCACTATGAGTCTAATCTGACTCAATGGCAGTTAACAACACATCTGCTTAATAGAAATTCATACATTAAAAAAAAAAAAGAAATATTAAGGGTTTTATGTAATGTGTGATATATGTACCTTTCTAATGTCCCTCCAAATTTATTGAACCTTTAGAGTTAGCTATTTACTAGAGGTCCAATATTTCTTATCTCAAATCCTTTAAGCCAGGAGAGTTTTAGAATCCAGAATTTTAATCGGGCTGCGAACCTTAAGGTCAGCAGTTAGAAACTACCAGCTGTTCTGTGGGAGAAAGATGAGGCTTTCTGCTCCCGTAAAGATTTACAGCCTTGGAAACCCTGTACAGGGTCGCTGTGAATCAGAACCGACTCCATGGCACATCACCACCACCACCATTAACAAGGTACATATACCACATATTATGTAATCTGCTCTTCTTAGTTTATCTAATCCTTAAAACAATCCTATAAGGATAAATACTATTGTCCTTATTTCATAGATGAGGAAATAGATCCAGAGATATTGTCATTTGGTCATCATCATAGCTAGAAAATAGTGGAGTTGGGTTTAAACTCAAGACAATCTAGCTCCTGACAAAAACTTAAGCTTTCTACTTAAACATAGCATTGTATATCTTTCGTTCTGTCACACCTTAATTCTTTTTAATTGTTATATACTGTCTTATTATATGTTATTGATATCTGCCATTAAGTTAATTCTGACTCATGGCGACCCCTTGAATGTTAGAATAGAACTATTTTTCTTAAGGTTTTATGTAAGTCTGCCCTGATTTTTCATTTTAAGAGCTATTATAAACATGGTCCAGTAAATATCTTTATATGTATAATCGTGTATTTAGGCAAAAGTCATTTCATTTAAAAATATTCATGTACATCTAAAAATGTTTTAGTTAATTCAGAAGCACTTGTATAGAGATGAAAAACTAGTGATATGCCATAACAATAATTTTAATATGTAGTCTAAGAGATCCTTACAGTCTGTGAATTGTTCTTTGACATACACTTTCTTATGGCAGTTGGTTGAAAGACTGGAAGAGAAGAGCTGAGCTGGAAGAAAGACAAAATTTGAAGGGAAAAAGGGATGAGAAGGAAGAAGGTATTTTGAGTCATTGTTTTCTCCAAATGTTTTCAGAGCTAGACTAGTTAAAATGTTTCGTAAAATTTCTTAATCGGTGTTTTATATTTGGTTTAGTTGTTTTTGTAAATAAAATTTACAGCATTTATTAGCAAGAAGTTTATGAGATTTGAACATTGGGTTTTGTCAGGGAGGATTGTTGCCTGAGCAGTGCTCATTTTATGTGCATTTGAATCATTTTTCAGTTCTGTTGGATAGCACAGATTTTAAAGGCAGCTCAGATGATGAAGAAGAGAGTCGTCTTTGCAATACTGTTCTTATAACGGGACCAACAGGAGTGGGGAAAACTGCTGCCGTGTATGCTTGTGCTCAGGAGCTTGGATTTAAGGTTAGTAATAGCTTCAAGGGAAGTACTAATGTATAGTTACCCCTGAATTAAAATGAAATATATGCCATTCTTCCTTTCCCCCACCCTACATATGTTGTTCTTTTAGATATTTGAAGTGAATGCCTCTTCCCAGCGCAGTGGTAGACAAATTTTATCTCAACTAAAGGAAGCCACTCAGTCCCATCAAGTAGATAAACAAGGTGTCAACTCACAAAAACCTTGTTTTTTCAGTAGCTACAACATAGTCAAGTCACCAAGTAAGTATGGTATTTTTCTCTTTTTTTTTT